CACGTGGCGCGCGGTGGTGCATCAATTTGCTGGTAGGCGCGGCGAAGGAAGAGACGGAGACAGACGGACTGGCCGACGGACAGAGAGCCAGCCCGGCAGGCTGACAGATATAGAGAGAGAGAGAGATGGCGCTTTGATGTGCCGACTTAGACCTGACAAACTTCTCTTGACGGGGTTGTTCATGTTTGAGGTATTCCAGATTAAGGTATTCCAGATTGGTGTCCGAACCTGTTCAAATCATCTGTCCACTGACGGACCCACCCCGTACCCTTGGCTTTCGTCTTCGTAATCCCCCGATATGGCCGCCCCTCGGAGGCATCGTCTTCGGCACCTTGAATCCAGCCATCCCTCTCTTGGCAGCTGTGAACTTCGTGGTGTGCCGTGCCTCGGAGAATCTCTGTCGCCTTGTCGACATGGGTGACGAGTGAGGTGACGAGTGGTGACGAGCTCGACCTTGGGTGGTTTTCTGTTTGAATGTGCAGCTCTTGGCTTCTGGATTCTGGAATCTACCATCTACTTGCAAAAAAACTCTAGAGACTCTTGATCGTGCATGTGAGCCACCCTCAAAGCCTGAGATAAGCTGGATGTAGCTTTCGATTCTTCACTGGTAGACTCATGGGTTTACATATCATATGTGAAGTTTTCGAAGCTGCAAAACACAAAAGCACCTTTGGCTCAGGGGTTGACCTTTGGAGTCAAGATCAAAGACTCACGTGTGCAAAGGAACCCATGGATCTAAACAGACAAAACCAAACCGAAAACCTCAGATAGATCCAGGATTAATCTTGTAAAATGGATTGGACTCTCCATGGGTCTCCCCAGAAGCGACTCGCTGTTGTTCCATAGTCACTCCGTTTTCCCAACGTGGGTGGATTTGCACACCTGGTCCGTTGCTTCAGAGAAGCACTCGGTCAAGTGAGGCAAGTGTACCAGAAGTCGAAACCTCGAGTCAGGGACCCCCCCCTGTGCGGAAGCCCTGACCGAAGTCAAGGTCAAATAAATGACCTGACTCACCAACATGGAAGGGAAAACCACCTGTTTCTTAGAGGAGAATAGTCATCCGACATGGGCCATCTTCATCCATTGCCCACTTCCGTTGCTGATGTGTTCGTCAGAGTGTGAAGAAACCAAACGCAAGAACGCACGCAGAGACCCGAACAGGAGCCGTGTATGGCTATTTGATCGTGGCGGCAGAGACCCGAAAGCCTGACCTGGGTGGGAACTTCTGGGTCATGAACATGACGCTTGGTCTGGCCTTGTACGACCGGGGAGACATGCTGTTTCTTCCGATGCGCGTTTCTGGGGCCTGGTTCTGGAGGGTGAGCTGGTTCTGGTTCCAGAACGCACGGCGCGTTTCGCCGGGAAAGGGCCGGAACAAGTGAAAGTGGATGTTTGTGGAGGGGAAATCCTCCGCACAGGATGAGTAGTTGTCTTAGGATCATCTCTCAGAAAGCCATCTTGACGTTTGGCTGTGAGAGAAGCTGCTGTGAACTTCACAGCCTGAGAAGGGTTTTTCGTCCGAGAACTGCAGGGTGGGTCGAGCACCACCAGGTCGCCAACGGGGTAGAACAAAAGGCATCAAAGGACTATGTGTATATTTGTGTATTACATGTTGTATCTACTGCAGTATATATAATGTATCAGCCGCTTGACCCCGAGAGTTTTCGCAAATTGGTTTGGGTGTTCACTAAAGATGCTTTGTTCAGCAGCCAAGTATTGGGCCACAGACGGGGATTCCTTCGGATCGATCGTAGATGTTGGAATTGGCTAAGGAGGCACGTCTTGATTGGCACCATGCTCTACTGCATTCTCATGACTGGTGTTTTCCTTGACCGTGCACCCACGGTGGTGCCTGCCGCCCGTGGCCCCAGTGTTGGCCTTTTCAACCAGCGGCCAAGTGAAGGGAGGATTATCCTCAACGCGAATGATCAAACATCTAAGAGTTGCAGACTCGTGCTTAGTAGGGAATGAGGAAATGAACCACCCCTGTAGACCCCTCAGGATCCATTTCCTTATTCCCTACGAGTCGCACCAGTCAGGTTGCATGAACATATTACTTCTTATGACAGTGTGTCAGTTGGATCAGTACATCATCCACGACGCTGGTCAGCTCGTTTTGGTATTTGTGCATTAAGTATGATTCAGCCAATTGCCGGCGACAAAGTACTAACACAATCAAAGCTGATCACACCAACATGGATCACACGCAAAGTTAGAAGAGCTAGCTGTTCCTGTCGTACGCGTCCCGTCGTACGCGTTTACGCCGCGGCCGCCTCCCGGCGGTCGGCGTGCCGTTTGAGCGACGACCGAGGCCGTTTCGGTGACCTGCTTGATTTGGATTATTCAGTCCTACAACCATTTCCAGCAGCATTTCCGTTGGGAGGCGAGACCGGGTGAGAAAAACGACACCATGGTGCGATCCAAGTTCGGAAGGGAAGAGAGGGAGGAGAGCAGCTTAGAGCGGTTCATGGTCCTGAAAGCTGCTTGCGCAGGCTGCTTCCTCTCCAGCAGAAGATGAACTAGAAGAAGAAACAAAGGGCTTTTCTAGCACAAAAGAATTTATTTTATGCCTTTTATATGATTTTATATGTTCGTGCCAGCGTTGAATCTTTGATTATCTTTGATTGTTATGATTTGTCATCATCAAATGTGGCTGTGGCCGGCCTAGCCGCCTTGGTCTCTCTTCAGACATCCCCCCCTGTTCAATCTCTTTCCGGATGCCCGAGTCGTTCAATTCTTGGCAAGGCGAGTCCTTCGCATGTCCCGATGATCAAATGTCACTCCAAGGGTAAAAGTGGAAGAATTCAATGCTTTGGACATCACCGATCAGAGGAGGTCCCTGGACCCAAAGTCACCATTGTCGCCCCTCGCCCCGCCTCGTTCGTGAGGCCTTGCCTTTTGTCGAGATGATGTACAAAGACAAGGAGGGACAGTTACAAGATGTTGCAAGTACTTACCCTGGTTTTGCTTAAGGACTTTTGTTTTCCCTATATGGTTCAATCCCCATACCTGGGGCCTGGGGAAGATGTGCATGTTTTCCAGGGTTCCTGACAGCAAATCCAAGCTACTGCTCAACGGCCTCCATCAGCGGCCGCTTCTTTGGGCCTTTCTTCAGCTACCACCGACATGGGAGTGTTGTCCATTCGACTACTGTGGTCCAACCTCCATATGCCTGCATGATCCTCCAGTGATGATAGTGATGATTCGGTATGATCACGCTGGACATGACCTTTCTATGCTAGCGCTGCGCACTGCAGTCTCGGCTGTTTCCGCAATCTTTCGTGCCTATGGTTGCAAAAAAAAGGGTTTGCGTTTGGATGGTTGCTGTGCCAGGACATGATTGCTGCTGCCGCTGAGGAGGCAGAAGAGAGCTTTGAGCAGCAACTTTGGCTGAAAGTTTCTCTCATCAATGATGCTGCTGAAAACCTGCAAGAGATCCCCCTATTAGACATGGAGAAAACTGATCACAGGGTTGCTCAGCCATGCTCAGCCTATGATCACTCACGTGTGGGGGGAACAGATGGTTATATACAAGCCTGAAAATCCCAAATTCTTGAGCTTCTCAAGCCTGCCTTCAACTGGACATGCGCCTCCTGTAGTAGTCGTACTTACTCGAATTTGAAGGGCTCTTTGGACCTGCATCATGTTGCGCTTCCCTTACAGTAAGATCCGGACCCTGGACACCAAAGTGGAAACAGCACAGGACCCAATGCAGTGGGGCCGGACCCTCGTCCTACTCGAAATGCTTATACTTCATGTCGAAAACAAAAGTCCTTGTGAACATGCCTCATGCTGACCAGTATCGGGAATCAAGTCTCTTCCTATCAGGAATCAAGTCTTTGTCCATTCCAATCCCAGTATTGGGAACGCTGCGTCCCTTTACTAGTCTCCCTTTGTTGTGCAACCGTTTTTGGGGGGCAACGTCCAGACTTCACAGGCTCTCTTTGGGTTGATCAGATCGATCGGATCTCTTCTTTGCGCAAATACGATACAACACACACATATATATATATATAAATACCCAGATGCTCCATGTATGCCGTATATGCCGATCAGTTGGGGGGGGGTTCGGGGGCCAATGTAGGCATATATGGCATACATGGAGCGTCTGGGATATAGCGTCTACAGTGCATAGAAAGGGTGTTCAAGACTGTACATCCCCTTACATCCCACACACGTCTACTGTGGCCCTTTACATCCCTTTACTCTTCCGGGTCGCAAAAAGCAAGTCTTCACTTCCGCGTCAGAATCTGACTGCTCCTTCCAAGGCCGGAAATCCGGCATGCTAGGACGGGCCTGACTGAGTCATCCGTGTTTTCAAAGACGTTTTCTCAGACGGGAGATTTTTGGGAAAGATCCGTGTCACCCAGGAGCAAACCACTTGTTTGGTGTGAGCCAAGGAGTCCCAGAGGTGATCGGGAAATCGTCAATGGTGCACATCAAAGCAGGTCCTGTTTCGGACCGATCTTTGCACTAAGATCGCAGACACTTCCGCCAGACCCCCGCTCCAGGACAATTGCCGCAAACTTGAACTCAGACTAGTCAGCGAAAGAACCTATATATATGGATTCGCACTGCGAGGGAAAAAGGCAGGTCCAGCTGCGCCTTGAACGGCAGAGCATGGGCACATGAGGAAGATGTATGAAACATCCTTGTCAGTTGTCGTCAGTCATTGTCATCCTTTCCTACCAAAAAAAATGCTAAGCCGCTAGGCTGCTACTGTTGGACCAGTTTTAGAGCTTTTGATTAACAAATGTCAAGTGCTTGTTTGGTGCACTTGCTTTAGCTTGTGCTCTCCCATCAGACAGCAGACGTGGTCCAGATGGCAGACTGGGATGTCCGTTGGCACAAACAAGTTGACCCGGCTTGACCTGGCAACTGGTTTGAACAAATCGTGGAAAAAAACCTATAGCCTATACTTGCTACACTAACTCATATGCTCAGAAACTCCAAGAAAGGCTACTATGGACTCCAGAGAAAAAGTGGCCTTGGATGCCTAGGCTGAGCTTGTTTATGCCCTACACCTACCAGCCTCCCCAGCGGTGCGTTGGGAAGCAGGGCAGCACCGTTGTTGGCAAGATTGAAAGACTTTGAAAGCTACATTAAGGTTCATTCTATGAGATGCTGAGAAATGTACTAAATGCACTTCATCTATTCTAAATGCATGGAATATTATTGTTTAACTACATTTCAATCAGGATTGTTGATTGTTGAAAAATGGGAAGACATTGGATCAATGGTTCTTTCAGGTAGAAGTGGCTTGTTGAAAGGCAGCGAATCGGTTCTCCAACCGAACGAACCGACGCTCGGACGACCCAAACACGACGCGAAAAGAGTCCGTCTAACTCATGTATGTCCTTCATCCCATTCGGATAATTACTATTTTCATATATAAAGTGTGCATCGTCGTATATGGCTTGGTTCCTGACCTTTAGACCTTGGACCATCGAACTTCGTGTCCAAACGCATCGAACGTGTCACCCCAAACACCTCCGTCGATCCATTCCGCACCCGACTCGCCAGGATCTGCTCCTGGGACAGCTGCGAAGCGCTTGGGGCGCTCAGTGCATGGCGCGGCGGCCGGTCCGCACTGGAAGGACGGTTTGGGGCCAAGGGGTCCTTGGACACCTGCATCAAATATCAAAGCACATCAAAGCTGAAAAACTCAGTTCAGGATCAAGTAAAAAAAACACTAAGATGTCTCGAAAGCCGTCGAAACGAGTTCACGGAAGGACGCAGACACCAGAGTATCCCAGTTGTTGACCTGATGGTTTGAACGGCGTCTATCTTGCCCCACTTCTCAGGTCCCCCCGGAGGGCCCGCCAGACCATCCTCCAAGTCGTAACTCTATCTCTCCTGGGCCCTCCCCCATTCCCCATCGAACATGACTCGAGGCACAGCAGCCAGATGAGCGCTTCTTCCAATCGCTCTTCGCTGAGGACCTCATCGCCAGACGAGTCTCACGCAACACGTCATGCCGCCACGCCCCGTGCGGTGCGTGGAGTTGCGAGCGGTGCGTGGCGTGGCGTTGTACCAAGCAGACCGAGCGATTCTTGCTGGTTGTACTGTGTTGTACTGCTGGTCTCACATGTCCACAAAAGCCCGAGGAGCCACTCGGAGCCACGATCCGTAAGCTCGTGGATTTCGGAAAATGCTGGAAGGTTGGAACAAAAGTCCAAAGCCATCTCGAAGTCAAGGAGGTTTGTATCTTTGACGATCATCTCTCCCTCCACAGACCCCCACCCCCAGAACACATTTCCTACGCAGCCGGCAGAGGCGATGCCTGAGCGTTATGGGGGCGGCTTGGGCTCATTGGGCCGCTACTCACGGGTTCTGGGAACCTTCCATGTGAGGGGCCTCAGTCACTAGACTCGGCCAAGGGCCGGCTCAGGAGGATGTCATAGGCCATAGGATCAAAGGTGTAGGTCTCTAGTCTCCAGTGGCGGGAGGTGGTTTTCTCAGGGAACAGAGCACACCGTTTTCTCCGAGACAAGCTCGGTTCAACACTTTAGTTGGCCTGAGGAGATCGCAAGAGAAAAGCCCCGGGATCCAACGTACAAGATTTGCTCCAAAAGAATCATGGAGGCTTGAACTTTGGAGAAGGTTTAGGCCCAAAGTTTCGGCACACACATTGCTGGTCTGTCGTACTGGTGGGTCGCTGGAGCCAGCTTCGGCCCGTCACGCGGTGGTCTTCGGGCCGAAAGCCTGGACCGACGTGGTGCCACGCGAAGCCCACGCGGAGAAGCCCAGGTGTGGGATGTTGATCGCTGGGCAGCTCAACTTGGGGAAGTTACACACTTGATGGTGGGGCCTCCAACGTGACTTTTCAGGTTGGATGGATCGAAAATGGATCGAATCGAACTTGCAACATGCTATTTAGACAAGACACGAATGAGTTGGAGTCACCCAATTAAGAAGGCATGTTGGTGCATGTTTGGGTGCCCTGTGTTGAGGTATGCCTCAAATATCCAAATGTATTCTAATGTCTAGTCTAATGTACTTATTGTTTGACTATTTTGTATTCCGGCCACAGACCCGCCAATGTGCTAGACATGCCAGCAGCTACGTGGTGGTCATCCGCCGCTGATGCTCATGGTTCATCAGCCTTCAACACCCGATGAGCTGCAGTTGTTCTTTGTGAGCAAAACAAGTTTGTTAAAATGCTCAACCCTCTAAAATCACCAGGACCTTGGGTACGCCAAGACGGTGGAAAGCTTGTAAATCTAACCGCTGGAGGTCCAAGGTCCAAACTGGACCGTGAGTCTGTGTTTGTGAGATCGCTTTTGACAAGAACTCAAACTGATCGAGCGAAGTAGCTGTTCGGATGGCGTCACTCCTGCAAGGACTCACCCCATGGTTCATCAAAGCAATTTGATAGTGATTTGCTTCGTCTGGGGTGTTTACTATCTATCTATCTATCTATCTATCCATCGATCTATCTATCTATCTATCTATCTATCTATCTATCTATCTATCTATCTATCCTACTAATACTACCTGATATTGAAGCCCCCCCCGAAAACATCCATGGTCCATGCATGAAGCCCATGCCTGTTGAGAAGAGATGTTCAAGCCCATGTTCAAATTCACACCCAACATGATGTGGTGATCAAAGTCATGTGAACCACATCCGTGGGCAAGGGAAATCGGCATAACAACAGTGTGAAACCTGCGCAAGGACCCGCAAGGACTTAGTCCTTGTCTTGTTCCTCACCCTTCTTAACTTCCCAGGTGGAAATTCATGTCCACTCGACGAATCGAGGCCTTGATCCTGGAGATGCCTTGCAAAGCTCCGGTGTCCCGGTTGGGAGGCCGAGGGAGCGCTTTTGGCGGATGTTGGTGGGGGCCTTTCGTTCTTTGCAGAGAATGGAACCTCCGTGGTTTCAAAACAACTCAAACATCTCGTTGCCGTCTCTGGGGGTCCGCGTTGTGTCCGCTCCGGTCTCACTGGTCGTCCCCCCACCTCCGGTCGACCACCGCGGACGGACGGTCTGCGGAACATCCGGTCGTTACAAGCGACGTGGGTGTTCACCATGGGTACCTACCGGTTTGACCCACCTGCATCCGCGTTCAAAACTGTGGTGTCCATCATGTCACTCATAGCCGTCATTGAGTGCTCTCACCCAATTCACAATTCCATGCAGGATCTATCAACGTCAAACGAGGAGGCTTAGTTTACATTGTCAATTGTAGACAACACCCATAGCTTTCCGTGTGCCCAATTCGCATTGTAGGAGCTTGCATACCATCGATACATATCGATACCATTTGCCAGGGATGTACTATCTCTGAACCTTCCTGTTTGACACACGGTGCAACTGGGAGAATATCCCTTCTCCAGATACTCGTATATACTATCTTTGAACCTTCCAAGGTTCTAACCGTGAGGTCTTGCTGTGAGAGGACATCTTCTCACACGACCGAGGTTCAGATCTACTCCCCGCCGCTGCTCCGTGACGCACGGCGCAACTTCAGCAGCTTGATGAAGGCACTGAGGGACTCGGGAGCTTCAGCAGCTGTGGCACCCGAGATCAGCAGAGATCAGCCGAGATCAACATATCCCCCAGTAATTACCATGGTTTCAAGGTAGATGGCACAGACCCCAAGTTTGGTGGTTTATATGGACCCTATTTTAAAAAGAATTGGAGGGTTGTGCCATCTACTCTGAAACCACTGTAATGCAGAATAGTTGCCAACCCTCCAGCAAATCCACGCCCTCCACAAGCCATGTAACCTGAGATTCACCTCTCGATTTACTGGGGATAAGCAACGTGAGTGCATGGCGAATGGATGTTGACCTGATCCTCCGCTCCAGCTCGTCCAGCATCTGCTCTAGTTCATGGAGAGTGCTTTGCACATACAGCAGAAGATGCCAGCAGATCCAAACGATACATAGATATACATAGTACGTATATTAGTTCATTCACATAGCTGTAGTACCAAAGAATATTGAGACATAGTGTAGTTCATTGGACCGACGATTCCGTTCTTTTTCGCATTTATGTCCATCATCCCCAGATCTCGGGCATGAAGCAGGTGGGTTCTGCCGCCGCGCTTCGCTCCAAAGCGCAGGCCACCCAAAGCTCCCCGTCCAGTCACTTTGCCAGGCAGGGCGGATGGAGACACCGATGGAACTTTCGAAACCAAAAGCGATCAGGATGGAGACACCGAAAACCTGGAAATCAGGATGATAAATTGAAATGATACCCCAGTGATATCAAACAATAAATATACATTATAGACAATAATATATGTTTTGGGATTCTCAGTAAATGCATAGCAAGAGTATCTATGAGATTCTATGAGTATTTTAATGCGAGATTGTTTGTACTACGACGACAGAGACCTTCTTGGTCGCCAATATGTTAGAAGGAGACAGAGTTTGTGCTCATTTCAGAGGCAAACGGAAGGGTAGTGCACAGAAAGGGTTTTGCAAAAACCTATTCTACTAACATCGTGGAAGGCGCGGGACATTCGTAGAACCCGGGGCTATTCGTGGACATTTCGTGCAAGGGTGGGCCAGTAGGAGAACAAAATCCATCAAAATCCCAGAAACCTTCGCTGAACTTCGTTGAAGGTATTTTTGCTGACCCCTCCTTTCAAGATCGGCAATGATGCTCAGCTGATGTTCATTCCCTTCTTCTGTTTTCAACTATCTTCAACTCAAGTTTGGATCGATTGAACAACTCCTAAGTAAATCTACTGATTAGACTAGCTGGATACCATGAACAGTGCCTAATGTTTGTTGAATTCAAGTCTGGATCCTGAGACTCTTTCAGCCTTTTCGCCGCTATGACTCGGAACCCAGATGACCCAGATGACTCAATCCCATTGATGCATCCATGGTCGGCGGGGGGCCCGGTGGAAACGTCCAAACCCCCGCCGACCTGAACCAACCTGAGTTTCAGCGAACGAAAACCGGTCTTTCCGCCGGACCGGGCCAGGAAATTTGATGCCCAGCGGACCTGGCCCTTGCAACGGCGCTTGGATGTGGCAGCGCTGGCAGAAGGACCTGCACAAGGTGCGCGCGAGGACGGCTGGCAGGACGGCGCAGGACGGCGGTAAGTGGGACCTGGATTCATGAGGCGAATTGGCTTGAAATATGTGGCTGATGGGCAGTGGCCAGTCCATCTTGGACCAGATACCCTGGAGTCACTAGAGGTGGAATCGTTGGAACTTGTTCAAGTGTTTTTGCCCCCTGTGCAACTGGTGGGCGCAAAAACAGCGCTCGAATATAACTTGGCCGAGTGTGACACTCTTGCTCGAGGTTGTCAAGGCTTCACAATGTCTCAGCCAAGGATGAGAATCTTAGTCGGATTCCCACTGACAGTGCGTGATGGACAAATTTCCTCAGAGGCTGTGTGACGTGTGAACTGAGTTTTGAGAATGGAGGTTGTCCTTGCAGCGTACCGAGTGCGCCATGCGGTCATCAAAACTCTACGCCCACAGTGGTCATCTACTCTACGCGCCTTGTAAAGTAGTTCCCTTGCGCTTCGGGCAACAGCAAGCATGGGCAGGGCCACACACGCTTGACCATGTCAGGGTGTTCATTCTTCTTGTGAAGATGCTTGGACTCAGTTGCAGATTGTACCAGGCTCAGGCTGAATCTCCAATGGAGTGCTTGCATTCCAATCATGTGAAAGTTACGATAGTGGCTGTGCAATTAATGTGGAAGGGCCAGGGAAAGCCTCCACTGAAGCACAGTTGGATTTGCCCAGGACGAGATTCTTAGTCGGATTCCCACTGAGGATGAGTGATGCAGAATCATCATAAAATCCGAGGCGTTTACCAGGGTACATCAGTCGTTGTCCTGACCAAACAATGTGGTATAAGTTGGGGTTTTACTGTACCTGTATTATCAGTATGTTTGAGCCTTTACTAACCATCATCATCCACTGTTACTGGTAATAGGATACACCCAACCAAGGTATAAGTTTGATGGTCATTTATTCGCACCAGTTATACAGCAGACTGTGGTCAATGCACGTTCTTTGCTCTTGACACAGCTCGTTGATTTTCTTCGTGCTGAACAGGGCCTCAGCGAACAGGGCCGAGCAAGCACACATGATTCAACAGTCTCGGATTGCCTGGCTTGAAAGCAAATCAAGTCCTTTGTAAGTTGGAGCGCAGCCAATGATGAGAACCTCAGTCGGATTCCCACTGAAATGCTCAAATGTTGTAGAGAAACTGCAGAGGCTGAATGCAAAGTAGAACCTGCTTGCCATGGTAGAAGGCATTTGGCACTAGCCCAGGACGAGAGTCTTAGTCGGATTCCCACTGAGTTGAGTGATGGAAAGCATTACGAGGCAGAGGCTTCATGTTGAGTGAAGTATAACGTGAAGTCGGTTGTAGTTGAACGCGTTGAACGCGTTGAACGCGTGACCGCTGCTAACGTATGACACCACGAATCAATGGAACATTGTCACCCGCTTTGCGGTTGCAAGGCCAAGACAGGGTTCTTGGCCGTAACCGTCAACGAACAGACCATGATGAATTTGGTTTGGATTCCCACTATATAAGTATGCTGCTTGGTGGACAATCTTCAGAACAGCCGAGGCTGTTTGAACAGGTCCGCTAAAGGCCTATGACTCTGACCTAGGACTATCATGTTCAAATGTTCCGATATCGAGTGAGCATGTACGACAGTGGAGTTTAGTCATTGCCGCCGAAGAGATGTTTTCTGATTCCCCTGCTGAGCAATGATGCCTGTTGAGAAGGATCAGAGACATTTGTGAGTCCAAAGCAAAAGTCAGTTTTATGTGCACTATATGCTTTTCAGGTTTTTGGCCTGTGAAGAGACTTTCTCGGATTCCCCTGCTGAGCAGTGATGGATACCGCTTGAGAAGGAGCAGAGGCTTTATGCGTTTGTTTTTGTTTCAGCACGAATTGGTCGGAAAAATATTGGATGCATGATGATGCATGAACGTTCTGTCGGCACGTTGCTTGATTGCTGGGGAATGTTTTAGTGGAGAAAGAGCAAAGACCGTTGAATCTTCAAGTTGCTGCGGACCTTGAGTGGGCCTCTAATTAAGCTTTCCCCCGCTTTCCGTCATGGGCTTCTGCTTACATATGACTGAAAATTGAAAACAATGAGGCGCTTCGGCTTCAGCTTCAGGCTTCTGATTGCTTTTCCTTGCATTTCCCCTGCAAGTGACTTATCATGAAGCATTTTATAAACATCGACACTTTTGTCATCACCATGTTTGCTGCAAGGCCTTGCCTGCAGCTTGCCTGCTGGTGGTGGCCAGCACCTCAGCCACTTGGAGACTGCCATGAGATCTCAAAGCATGACCTGCATTTTGCAATGCCATGTTATTGTCACCTCATACAATAATATAGAAATTGCAGGCATGCACACTGACTCTAGGTGCTGAGATGTGCTATACCTGATGCTGCACCCAGCCTGTCCACCCTAACCTTAAAACCATCTGTGAGGGGATGCTGCTGCTTTTGGGCACTCAGCAGCAGAGCAGCAGCCATGGAAACCATATATGATCTCCAGCAAAAACGATATATGAGGTGTGATGATGCAAAATAAAATAAAAAGCAATGCGCTGCTTGCTCGCGTGAACTGAATTCGCCCGCTTGACCTCAGCCATGATGGAGGATCCTGTGACTCGCTTATCAATCTTCAAATTCAGGTACTCAATGCCTGCTTTCCCAGGAGAGGATTTGTGCGAATGGGTGCTTCCAGAGCATGCCGCAAGAATGTATAGTTCTGCAAAGCCGCAACAAAAAACATAAAACATGCATTTTGTGCTTTGGCTCACCCCAGGCATCACTATCCGTATGTGTCTCAGGTAGGATTTAGTTATATAATATAGTCGTTGCGTCGCTCAACGGTGGTGGCAACAGCATGCCTCAGAAGCAGGCTTAGAAAGAAATAAGAAATCGTTACATGTCCTCTCAGCCACTTTGGCTTAATCGCTTCCGTTGGATCCATGGCTTGGACAGCGAGCTAATCAGCCTTAGAGTTGAATGTCCCATAATGTCCCATTGTGCAGCTTGTGGTTTGTTTGGGACAAAGATGCACAAACCTTCGAACACCGGGAGATACCTGGACATGTGGCGCACCCAAAGTGGTGTCAGCAAGCTAGACTTTATAGTCGATCAGCTGTGTTTTGTCACTGTTCCTCTTCGTTTTATAGGGTGAGTGTGGGTCAGGGCGTGATGTTTTTATCTGCACCTTGTAGGTTGAACCCCTCGATGTACAAGCAGGTTGCACACGAGGTTCGAAACACCGAACCGTGTTGAGGGTCACACCCCCCAAAGTATAGCTATAAAGCCTGGAGTGGGACCTACTCCCCCTTTTTGGAACATAGATCTATATCCAACAAGAGTCATACTCCTGTAGCATGTGCATAGGCGCGGGAAGGGTCTTGATGCCTAGGTGTTTTCGAATGTTTTTTTCGATATCATCCTTCCTGTGAAGAGACGTTCTCGGATTCCCCTGCTGAACAGTGATGGATACCACTTGAGAAAGATCAGAGGAACTGTGGAGCTTGGCTGTTGCGCACGATGGCGGGCAAGTGTTGAATGCAAAAAGATTTTGTGAGTGTTTTTCTTGATTGTTGTACACCCTAGCCGGTGAAGACTCTTTCTCGGATTCCCCTGCTGAGCAGTGAAGGATATCGCTTGAGAAGTAACAGGGGCCTTCTGCGTCAGTTTTTGTTTCAGCACGCATTGGCGCATTGGTCAGAAAAATATTTGATGCATGATGATGCATGAACATTCTGTCGGCACGTTGTGTCATTGCTGGGCAAAGCTTTAGTGGAGGAAGAACTCTACATTTGAATCTTCAAGCCTATATCCAACAAAAATCATACTCTTGCAGCG